ACAAACATTTCAAATTATAAAAATGGTCTCTCTTTGGAAAACCCATGGTATGAACATGGCTAAAAGAAATCTTCTTCACTAATTCTATTAATGACTTAATATTCAATATACTTGAATGAGTGGAATTCTTTCATTTCAGTACTAGATTTGTTCTTAGACTTAATTTTCTATTTTATATAGTTTATTATTCATATATTCTTACAAGATAGAAAATAAATTTCTCCTCTTTAAAGAGAAATAATCTATTATTTTTGCCTTTTATACTTAAGATTTGTTTTCAATCATTTTTTTCATTAAAAATCTAAGAATTTTTTTTTTAAGAGTCATGAAGGGCAATTTTTTGATCCTTTACAAAACAGAGATGTAAAGTATGAAATTATGAAGAAAAATTGCAGCAAATTGTTTAGAAAGAAAATAAAATCTGGGTCTTGAAATAGTTTTCCATTTAAAGTACCACTTTAAGATTAATCCTCAATGGGAAATAAATCACACCCATCTTATGCTACCTTGAGCTCAGTCAAATCTTATTAAAATATTCCTTACTTCACTTAATAGATATGCTCCTGAAATGTGTAAATCTCATCTTAAATGCACTAGGGGGAGCTCCCTATTTAAAAGAATGCTATAGTGTCTCTCAAGTAAGGGCTCCTATTCTAACTTGTATTCCTGCAAAAGAATGACTTAAATTTATTGGAAGTATTTATATCTGGTTTTAATATATTTCTTTAAAAACATGATGGCACTTTATCTCATGCTTATCACTCCCATGAAGACAACTTTGGCCAAATTATACTACTTTTCACATCTGCTTCCCTAGAATTGAATACAAAACAGAGGAAAATATATTTAATATGCTACTAATAGGAATCAGAGCATGTAGCAAGAATCAGCTTTAAATATCACTAGATTTTTACAACTGTAATTTCAAATTTAAAGCTGAAAAAAAATAGAACACTATAGATGAATAATCTATTAAGGAAAGAAGTATGCCTTCTGTCTACTGATCATGTTATAATTTTTAAAGTATATTTTAAATACATCATTTAAACTTCTCAACTCTAAAATAATACAGGTACAATGGTTTCACTGTCAATGTGGAATATAAAGAAGCAAAGGCACAGGGTGGTAAAGTGACTATCCAATGTTACAAAGCAATTCAATGGCAAGGTCAGTTCTGGGATTCCATTCACATTCCTGGTTATTGCTCTTCTTTTATGCAACTGAATAAAGATAGAGAAAAAAACATTTAAGCTAGTTACACTGTAGAGTCTTCTCTTCACCAGTAATAATTACAGAAATACTCTGAAGGACGCTTAAAAGCTCAGGGGACTAAAAAATTTACAAAATATTATTCATTAGTGTTTCGAGTTCATATTCATCAATGTGTTTTGAGTTCATATGTTCGAGTATAATAAACTACTATCTTTTGAAAAGATGCCTATAGCTCAATAAATGCAAAACTATTGCTAATGTATCTGTTGATAGCCTATGGGAAACCAAACCCCAAATGGAAATCAAGTTTTCATTATTTCACCTGCTAACATTAAACCAGAAGTGTGTAATTTAGTATTACTTGAGTATTAAATGGATACTACATGGGTAATCAAGTTATTTACTAACTTCACAAATGGATCTTTATATTGAAGAGTAAAATTGGTTAAAATTACTCTAAGTATCATTCTATTTGATCTTGTCTGAAAAGCCACCATTGTTCTATGAGAATAACACTCAGCATTGAAAATCCTCATAAATTAACTCCCTTTAGGGCTGGTCAAGGATTGTTTTCATTGAGGGCACATGGCAGGGCAAGTACCATTTTAAGTCCAGGAACAACCTAATCAGTACTAGTATACTGGGTGGAGGTGTACAGAGTCAGGACAGTGACCGAAATGATTAATTTTAGGCCAGAGTAAGGTTTGGCAGGTGAACCTAAGTGGAAAAACATTTTTTAAAGAAGAGACAATGTTGCAAACATTGGGAAAAACAGTAAGATTTTGAACAGTATTTAGAAATACATGTATATATGTAAACTTTTATCAGACATCTAAATCTTTGTGTATTTATTTTTTAGACATAGGTTGGTTCAGATTTTTAGTGGCTCTTAAAGGATCAGCATCATTTGAAACTGGAACATACATTTGAAAATTATATATATGGTGCTGCTATAATTAAAGATTGAATAGAAGCCACACATAACTACATGAAATTCCATGACTACAGAAATATGAGCAAATGGTATTAACAAAATTAAGTAACTTAAGGGACTTCTGTATGCAGGGAATCTTTTACTGGGTTATCCAAAGTGCTTGAAAAAAACCTTACCAACAATTGTTTATTCCCAGCTACTTTAACCTTACTGATGCCAATTCTGACAGCATTCTAGTTAACGTCTCAAAAATGTTTTTTTGGTATGCTAATAACTGAAAATTAACAGATGAACATAAGTAGATTATTAAAAATACTCTTGCTATTGGTTATGGAAAATCACATGTGTGTTATGTATGTGGGGGGGTTGTGGTATCTAAATATATGAGTACACAGAGATACACATTAATCCAAATTTAGATATCTCAAAGAAACATCATTCAGAAACTTATTTTAGATGTTCTTAAAAATAGGTGTTTTTGTCTTCCATCTAATTCATTTTCTCATTTCTTTCAACTAGAGATTATACTTAAGTATTTAATATAGTGGGGCTCCACAGATCCTAGTATAAATATTTATGTATAAATAGAGATTACAAAATAAAAGTACTCCACAGAAAACAGATCAAAGTATTTTCACAAAATGAAATACAAGTATTAAATATCTGAGTTATCCAAAACAATTGATATTATCTTTTATGAATAGAAAATACGTAATATTTAAATCAGCAATAGCTGTATGACTAAAAAAATTTTCAAAAGATGTTTTGTTCTAATTGAATATCTCCACATATAATCTTTTGGAAACTGCGGTTTCTTAAAGTATTTTAATGGTAGTTTCACTTTTATGTGCCAATTCAGAACATAAGCATCAGTATCACTTGAATTACTCGAATCCATGCTTATTCATCAAAATAACCAAGAAGCATGATTCCTCCCCCTTGTTGAATTGATAAACCTTAATACCAAAAACATCCTCATCTCCCAGGTCGTGTGTGTCTTGGTCAAAGTGGTAACAACACAGCAGGATCACCTCCAACCTCAAGCTTTTTACAGTAAAATCTGTGACAATCAAAACATGACATGACTACCTTGTTTTTTCAGGTCTCACAAGTTTCCCACTTTTGACGGGGTGCAATGTTACCATTTCTCTATGGATTAGTGGAAACTGAGTTTTCCTTGTCTGACAAGTTTCCACCTTATGCTTTCACAGGTTTTACTGTTTCAGTTTTACAGGTAAGAACTATGTGTTCTCTGATGGAAGATGGCAATTGGTAAAAGGAAATAAGGCTTAAGTTAAAAATGTTCTCAGCCTCTTCATGACAATCAGTACTGTAAAAAATATTAATAGGTGGTAGGAGATAAATGTCTAAATACCTTTCCCACTTATTAAACGATACAGAAAAATAGGAAACAGTTGTGCAATACACTGTTGCTGTTAGGTGCTGTCAAGTAGATTTTCGACTCAGTAACTCCATGTGACAGCATACAACTGCCCCAGCCTAGTTCTCTAGGCTGCGATCTATACAGATCACCAGGTCTTTCTCCCAGAGCTGAATGGTGGGTCTGAACCACTAACCTTTTGATTAGTGGCTGAGCACTTAATGTCTGTACCACCAGGGCTCCATCTGTGCTATACACTAACCTGAGAAATAATCAAGTTTCAAATTTTCTCTGAATTCAAAAAAGGTTGAATGAAAACTTTAAGCAGTAAGACTGTGTATCACTACACATAACAAAGGAATATGAAAGAGAAAAGAACCCATTATTTTACAGAAACAAATTGTAAAGCTCATGGCAAATCTACCTAAATTACTGAAAGTTGCAAAATGAAGCACAACAGAGAAGAGGGAAAGAATAACGTGGTTAAGAAAATACACATTTACTTCAACACCAGATGTGTAATTCAATAAAAGCAGAAACTCACGACACCTGTGGCTGTGGAACTGGGGGAAAAAAACAAATGTACATCTAAATAAATCATTGTGGTGACAGTGCTTTGCACTACTACAATGTAAGAAACTCATCGGGTTTAATACACCTTTGTTATGTATAACATTACACATTCTTCTGTATCTTTTATTCTCCAGGTCAGCAATCTCATTAAGTTATAATGGACCACCTTACATTATTCCATAGTGAACCATCACGTGATATAAAGCTCCATGGAAGTCTTGTCTCATCCTTAAATAGAGGAGTTGCAGGTGCAATAGAGGGCACTAGGGGTTAAGAGTGTGTTCTTTAATTACTTTCCAGACAGCCTCTTTCAAGAGTTTGGCATTTAAAAAAAAAAAAAAATTCCTCCTTTAGTAGTTGCTAATTTTGTATACTCCAAAAAGTAAAAATTCTTAATGTACTCAGTTATTGCACTCCAATGAAAATCTTACCCTTGAATAGTTATACAATATGGTTAAATTATACCCTGATGCAAGAAAAAATAATTTCCTCTAATATTTTTACTAATATGCAAATGGAGACCACATATTAACTAGTGTCTGTAAGCCACTGCAAGAGTTGCACACTTGTCTATGGTAGAATATCAGAGTAACTGAGTATGGAGAGACAGGATATTTGCCCTTTCATTTCCTAACTGAACTTCAAGGGATTAAAACCAAATTCATGAGAATGTAATTTACAGCAAAGGAGTCTAATTCTGAATACAAATGCTTATGAAGAAAAAAACATGAGGGATATAAGATTATATAGAGTATGGTGAGGGTTTCATGTTTGTGTTAAGTGCATACTGTATTTTAATCCAAAATGTTCCATACTTATATTTCATGTAGTTTTTGGACTGGAATGTGTTTTCCACAAAAAGAAAAATCAACTATTTTTCCACCTTAATATTCAACCTACCTGCCCATAGTTGTCTATGCCAGTTACTAATCTATTTAAATTTAATAAATCAAAAGCTGTCCTTAGGGATTGGCCAAGAGTCGTAAGTCCTTCAGCCTGAAGGTTTTTCAGTTCATTCATAAACGTTGCATGGTTTTCTTTCCATCCAGCCTGAAAAGAAAAATTTAAGAATTTTTTTTTCATCTTTCAAAGCATGTACACACGGGCAGCTGTTATAATCTAATGCTCACCAAGTAGCTGCTTCACTTTACTGTACGGTTAACTTCACTCCCTTCCAAAGATGGGCAAGAATAAATCTGCTTGCTCTGTAGTGTTTGGTAGCCAACAGGATTAACACTTCATAACTTTACTGGGAAAATTACTATCTAATACCCAAAATTTCATCATGTGAAGGTAGTAGTGGTGAGAGAGGGAACTCTACTTCTTAAGTTAACAACCTACAGCTGTCCCACTGGCCCTTAGCCCTATCTGGAAGAATCTGAAGCCCACGCCTCGCAGGCCCCCAACTCTCACTCCCCAGCCAGGGGCACCGCAGCCCAACCCCGAGCTGAGTCCCCTTTAATGCAAACCGGGGCTCACTCGGCCGGGCCCGGCTGTCACTCGGGCTAACTTGAATAAATATCCCCCACAGTTCATTGCTGCGGCTCACGCCGCGGAGGGGAAATGTCGGCCATGTTGATCGCAGCGCCTCCGCTACTGCCGCCGCTGTCGGCCGGGCCGGGGAGGGGACGGCGGTGGCCCAGCGACTCAGCGCTTCGCCAGGACGATCCAGTGCGGGGGAGGGGGTGGGAGCCCGCAGGGGGAGAAACCTCAGCGCCAGGAGCACACCGGGTGGGGGAGGGGAGCGAAATGAAGGGTGAATGGGGGGGCGGGGAGGGCGAGCGAGGAAGGAACAGGGAAGGGAAGGGGGAGGGCGATGACTGTTACCTTGATAGCATAGGGCGGCTCTTCGAAAGTGACCAGCATGTACCTGTCTCCTCTGCTGGCAGGATCTCGGGCACGGAGCTGCGGGAGAGCGGGTGGGGACGGGAAGAGGAACAGGGCGGGCGAGAAGGAGCACACAAGCGAGGTTACAGGCGGAGAAGGAGCGCCGAGCAGCCCCACCGCCCCCCCCCACAGTACCGCACACGCAGCGGCCACCCCTCCACGCCGCCCCCCATACACAGATCGATCCCCACACACCGCCCCGGGCCGCAGCCGGATCCCGGGCCGAGCCCAGCTCGCAGCGCCCGCCCGTCGCCCGCCCGCGCGGTGGGGGAGGGGGTCCCCGAGCCCGGCGGCTCCCGCAGTCAGGTCCCCGACACCTCTGCCTCGCCGCCCCCGCCGCCCTCCCCCACCCCTGCCGCCCGCGGGCCGCCGGACCGAGGTAGCAGCCCCGGCTCGGTCAGTCGGTACCTTCATGAAGGTCTCTACCGCGCCTTTGGCCGTGTCCAGGTAGGTGGTGCCCAGATGGCTGCGCTGGTTCATAGAGGCAGACGTGTCTATCAGGAACAGTAAGATGGGCATAGTGCTGGCCGGGGACACCGGGGCCCGAGGTGGTGGAGAAAGAGATGGTAGGTGTAGGCGCCGGTGGCGGCGGCGACCGCCGCTACGCGGGGCGGGGGAGCGCGGCCCCCGGGAGGAAAACACCGTCTGGGTCTTTCCTCCGGCTGCGGGGAGTTTCTCCCTCGATAGTTGAGAGGAAACTCCCCAGACCCAGTCCTCCCAGTCGTACCCCGCCTCCGCCTCCTCCTGCCTGCCTGCCCGCTGGGCCGGGCTCCCGGCCGTCTGTCTGTCGGTCCGTCCCCCCCGCCTCGGGGGTCCCGTCCCCGCTCCCGGCCCCTGTGTGTGTCCCAGCGGGAGACGGGCCTGGCTCCCCACCCCACCCCCAGTGCAGGGAGTGGGGACCTGGGAGCTGGCGAAGGGGTGAGTGGGCTGAAGGGAGATTGGCCCTAGGGCTGTTGGGAGAAGTTTCAGGGACTCCCTCTGCACCCCGGCGGTGTCACCACTTTCTCAGCCCCTCTCGCTACTGAAGCGCTTTTCTCTCTCACACTCCGGTTTTAACTCGGGCAGGGGCTGCAGAGGCTCCGCCCCCTGACACGTCCCCGACCCACGTGATGCACCGCCCCGCTGTTTTATTGGCTGCCCCCTAGCCTCTAATTAACATATTCAAACAGCTCAGGGGCGGGGGAAGCTTGTAGGCCGGCTCCGGGGACAGTTATTGAGCACGCGCGGAGGCGGGGCGTCGGGTGTGCGCGCGAGCGAGCGCGAGAGGGGAGCAGGCGGGCGGACCGGCGCGGAGGCGGGCTCCGGGAAGGGGCGGGGACGGACCGCGGAAGGGCCGCGGAGTGGGGGAAGGGGAGCGAGTCGGCGCGCGCAGGGCGGCTGCGAGCCTGCGCGTCAGGGCTCAGGCCTCTCCTTGGCTGTTGGAGGTGATAGGGGTCGGGGGAAGGGAAATGGAGACTGGCCTCAACTCCCCTTTGAGGTCGTTGTGGTGAACCCCTTCCTCAGTGGACAAGTGAGGGGGGGATGAGGAAAGTGACCAAACATCTGGTTAGCAGAACGGTCAGGCCCTCGGTCGCCCTCCGAGGCTCCGGACCCGCGGTCGCTGAAGGAGGTTCCTTGAGCCCCGGAAGGCCGGCCCCAGCGCGGGCGGGTCCGGGGCGGGGGAGGGGAAGTGAGAGGTTGTTTATGACCAGGGACTAATCTCTGAGAGTCACACAGCTCCTGCTAGGGAGTGGGACCGCGGGTCCGACCCTTGTTCTGCTCTGGATGAGCGACCTAGGGCGAAGGCTGGACCAGGGGCAGGCCAGGCACCCTCTCGTTGGAGGACCCATCAAAAAGGGAACAATACCTTCTAACCCACCTCTAAAAGGGCGTGGGAGAAAATTGAAATATCAGTACACGGTTCGTTTTCCTTATTACTCTTCAAGAGAAAAGAATAACGGCCTACCCGCAGAAATGCATTTCACAACCGCGTTTACGTGGGACCATAGAATAGCAAGATCTGAATATTGCAGATGAAAAAGACCCTAGGAACCATCATGCATTACCCACATTTTACAAGTGCAAAAACTGATTTCAGCTTGGCCATATAACACGGAGAATGGGTTCCCATAACCCTGCCATGCATCTTTCAACATGCCTTCTCACACTTGTCCCAAATACTGTAGAGGGAAGAAGTTATCTGTTAAAACAAATCCCTGTCATCTTACCTAATGATGTAATGAATCCTCTCCTGACTGTCTGAGGGAAAGTGTCCTCAAATACACTAGTTGAAAAACTGAAGACACTGCCTTAAATGTAAGTTGAATTAGACACCTAAGACCTCCTAAGTCTAGATATTAATTGGCCTTTCCAACTATCCTTGCATTGCCTGAACTCTTTTATTCTTTATCTTGAAATTCTTAATTATTAACCTACAGAGTATTTGGAGAAATTGTTGCTATTAATGTTAACACAGAAGAGAGATGCTGTGTGGCACATTTAAAAACTCTAAAACCATAATTCCAATTTAGGAGACCATAAATTGGCATGTTCCTAATATTTAAGACAGCTTTTGAAACTTTTTGTTCATTTGTATTGGGGCTTTTTCAATAATAATGCTGCTCTGTGATTATGTACCATGGAAGATGTATCATTTTTAAGATTTGGACTGTGAAATAGGAAGAAGATGGATATAGGTCTTACAGCCAATATTTGCTGAGGATCTACTTTGTATGGTGAAGATAAAAAGTGAATAAAATATAATCCAAGTATAGAGAACATGAATAAAATATGGTCCCTGCCTTCAATGAGCTTATGATTGTCTACAAATAGTTGACATACACAGTACTACAAGGCATAAAGTAATTAGATACTAAAGAATTCGGAGAAGAGAAATATGTATTAAGTTGTGATGAAAGAGTATTTTTAGGGTCAGTATGTTTAAGCTGTGCCTTAAGGCAGTATTTCTCAAATGAATCCCAGACCTGGAGACAGAGTTCTATGATACTTTTAAATTTTTGTGTTCATTTTTTATTACACTATACTAATTTGGGGAGCTCTGGTAGCATAGTGGCTAAGGCACTTGACTGCTAACCAGAAGGCAGGCGGTTCAAACCCACCAGCCACTCCTCGGAAGGAAGGTTGGGCAATCCTACTTCCGTAGTGATACTGCCTTGGAAACCCAAGGAGGGGTCCCTATGAGTCAGGGCTGACTCGACGGCACACAACAACAACAACATACTAATTTGACCAGTTAAAAGATAATTTTTCATTCAAAATGTTAGACCTATTCAGAGAATAATCTTTGGTTTCCATTATCAGTGTTTTCATTGCAGACCTTTCCCAGCCTATCTGAAAACTAGTCTCCAGGATTATAAGGAGGAGCTCTGGCAGCTCTGTGGTTAAAGCATTGGGCTGCTAACCAAAAGATTGGTGGTTCCAACCCACCAGCAACTCTGTGGGAGAAAGATGAGGCAATCTGCTCTTATAAAGATTTACAGCCTTAGAAACTCTATGGGGTAGTTCTACTCTGTCCTAAAGGATGCTATGAGTTGCGTTGACACTGATTGCAGTGGTTTAGTTTGGTTTTTAGTAGGATCACAATTTACATTATTCAGGCACTCAGCTGATAACCAAAATGTCACAGGTTCAAACTCACCAGCTGCTTTGCAGGAGGAAAGACCTGGTGATCTGCACCTGTAAAGATTTCAGCCCAAGAAACCCTTTGGGGCAGGTGCACTCTGTCCTATAGCGTCTCTATGAGTCAGAATTGACTTAAGGACATGTTACAACGTTATGTTATTCAGTAGTCTGTATATTAAATTTGAGAAACATTGCTTTAAAGGACTAATAAGATTTGGGATATATGGACAAATGAAGAAGAAGGTAAAAAAAAAAAATTTCCAGACATTGAAAATGTAGGGAAGAAAGGAACTCAGAACAGCATTCCCGATGCTTTGTCGGGTACAGTGAAGATCAGCCAGGCTGGAGCACCAGGTGCATGAAGAATAGTAGAAGATTCAGAAAGGTCGGTCAAGACCAGACAGTAGAGAGCCTTTATTCCAGGCTAAGGAATTTCTTCTTTTTTTTCCACCTATAAACAAGAGTTTTCAGTTGTAGTGCTAAGTACAAAGCAGTGTTTGAAGGAAACCAAACTGTTGTAAGCTTCTGTGGAGTCAATTCCTGACTCACAGACACCTCATATGTTACAGAGCAGAACTGCTGTATAGGGTGTGCTTGGCTGTTACAGGTAATTACAACAACAACAATCTTTACAGAAGCAGATTGCCAGGTCTTTTCTTCCGGGAAGCCACTGGGTGGGTTCAAACTGCCAACTTTTAGGTAGCAGTGTATTGCAAACAGCTTGTACCACTTGGGGCCCTTATTTTAAAACATCAGCATATATTTATGACCTTAATATTATCTAGTTGTTTGGAATCATTTTCCAATGCAGCTATCATCATTTTTTCCTTCCTGACTCAATGGGGTTGGCTGATTATAATATTGGGGCTGTAAGTGAAAGTATATGGTAGTGTCAGGGTCAGTGGCAAAGATTAGGAAGCCAAGGCCAGTGAGCCAAACCTGAAAGATATAACTAAAACCTATCCTTATGAGCTCTGGGGTATAGTGGTTAAGGCATTTGGGTGCTAATCAAAAGGTCAGTGGTTTGAACCCACCAGCTGCTCTGTGAGAGGAAACTGAGGCATTCTGCTTCTGTAGAGATTTACAGCCTTGAAAACCCAATGGAAGTTGTTACGAGTCGGAATCAAAGCAATGACAGTGACTTGGGGTTTTTTCTTTCTTTCTTTTTTTTTTTTTTGATGCTTATGATGGAGGCTGAGATCAAAGGTCAGGTCTCCTGTCAGCAGCTCAGATGTGCTAGAAGGAACAGAACAGGAAACCAGAGCAAACATAACGCAGCAAATCAAGAGGCAATTAGAAAAAAGGAATCATTGACAACCTCTCTAGACAAATTGTGAAATAGACCAAGTTTATTCTTAGTGACTCACTGTTTGACAGGCTATTGATTGATAATGGTGCACAGTAATGGTTCTTAGTCATGAAATGCATATCAACATCACCCAAAGAGCTTAAAAAAAATAATGTACCATGTCCCATTACTGAAGAATGTGATTCAGTAGAATTTGGATGGACCCTTCTTTACATCCTACTTTTAAAAAGCTCTTCAGATCAATCTTACAAATAATACTGATTGAGAACTACATGCTTAAAATATGAGAATAATTATGTGCGTAACATCTAGTAAACCAAAAAAAAAAAAAACCAAAAAACCCAAACCCACTGCCAGTAAGTCTATTCCAACTCATACTGACCCTATAGGACAGAGTAGAACTGTCCCACAGGGTTTCCAAGGCTATAAATCTTTATAGATGCAGACTGCCAAAGCAACTAGTAGGTACTCAGTAAATAACTGAAAAACTCACACACTCTTAGGTTTGTTGAAGTTATTAAAAGAACTCCTAAAATAAACAAGCCTGGAAGCTTAAGGAAAGAACTATAAATGTGATCACCAACATATTCAACAGTGGATTTGTGTCATATGCTTATTTAAATTGCTTGAATTCAACTATATTTGGCAAAAATTAAAAAAAAAAAGAGAGAGAGAAAAATACTTTTAAACAGTGCCAGAGATCCCCACCATCCTCTCAGTGAACTATGGCCCTGGAGTGAGCACGAGATGAGAGGGCGAATGTCTTCTTCACTCAAGGTCTGTGATTCAAGAAAGATAAACTGTGGACTTATTTTTCTAAAGTGTGACCCCTAAATGCAAGCCCACTCTTTGATCTGAGATTCAAATAAAGGAACCTCAAGGTGTTCCAGGACCAGAGGGAAAATGAATTGGAATCGTGTGCCAAGGCCAGTGCTTTTGCAATCTAGGGGATTAGAGAAGATTTTCCTGGGAAAGCATTGGTCTGAAGAGGTATATAGGAGAAAAATTGCTCTTTGCTGCTGTTTTAAAAGGAGTGCTGCACAAATGCTGTGGCTCCAATGTAAAAGTGAATGAATAAATTATATAGAAATCTTTGAAAGAATGGTCAGATTCGCTTAGACAATAGCCTAAATTGTTGAAATGGACCTGTTTTAACAGAATTAAGAACTGATGAATTAGATTCATCCGTAGGAGCCAACC